GTGAAGGAACCTAGCACCTTGGGCTCAGGCTCTTGCTGGGGTGAGAGAGAACTGGCCCTTGACAGTATCTGCCTTGGCTAAGATGCTGCACACTAACGTTCCTTCTGAAAGGATGTACCCAGATTAAAATTTATAATGACTAAGGGCAGGAAGTGGCGCTCCTGCAGAGGTTCAGATTACATAATGATCTGAAGAAAGCCCTAAGCAAAGATGGGGGAGGCCGGGAGGGGGAGGGGAGGGAGGAAGGAGGGAGAAGATGAAATACCCGATCAGTGCTGAGCGGGAAGGAGAGCTAGGCTGTGATGGCTGGGGCCCATCAGCGTGTTCTGAGAATCTGTTTTGGTTTGACTCTTTGTCCATTTCAATTTATTTTATACTCTGCCCTCCAAGTTCTGGAATAGGAGCTATTGAGCAGATGATTTTTAAAAGGGGGCCTTTGGGCTTCCTTGGTGGCGCAGTGGTTGAGAGTCCGCCTGCCGATGCAGGGGACGCGGGTTCGTGCCCTGGTCTGCGAGGCTCCCACATGCCGCGGAGCCGCTGGGCCCGTGAGCCATGGCTGCTGAGCCTGCGCGTCTGGAGCCTCCGCAACAGGAGAGGCCACAGCAGTGAGAGGCCCGCGTACCACAAAAATAAATAAATAAATAAAAATAAAAAATAAATAAATAAAAGGTGCCTTTGGCCTTTGGAGCGGACATGGGCCTGGAGGTGCTGACCTTTGGGTTGTCTGTGCAGCCACCTGTTCGTGTTCAAGTTGCTGGCTAAGCACCTCTCTGAGCTAGGCCCCAGTGCGGGGGGGACAGGTGGGGTCACAGAGCTTCTTGGAAGTCAGAATTCCTGGAAGGCAACAGACTCAGAAATCTGTCGGGGCTACAAAGTGTCCCCAGGGCCAGGGTGGGTGGTTTTCTAGTGTCAGGAGGGCCCAGGGAGGCCTTAACTGACCAGTAGGTGTATGTGTGCAGGGGGCGGTACACAGAGAGCCCAGGGGCCTGAAGCGGGCAGGCATGAGGGTGAAGCTGGAGGGACAGGGTGATCCAGGCACAGAGAGGGGCTCTAGGGGATGTCAACCTGAGCGAGCTATGGAAGGCAGGGTGGAGGGCAGCAGGTGGCCCAGTGTGGGTCAGGCCCGACCACAGAGATGAGAGTGATGGCGGGCAGCCACAGGCCAAGGTTAGACCACAGGCCTGGCTGAAAAACTGTGGAGTCGTTAGCGGGCTCTGAGTGTCTGTGCAAAGCCACAGCCATGCTTTCCTGGGCACAGCTCTCACAGTATGTGGGCAGCAGAAGGCCCCGCCTGGCACACAGGGCCAGCAGGCCCACATGCACCCTAACACCCCCCTTAGTTTGGCCTCTGTTGGCTCTGGGGCCTCACAGCCTGTGTTCACAGCCTGGCTGTGCCCTCAGGACCTGGGAGCCCTGGGGAAGGTCATCATCCTCCAGCCTCCAGGGCTTCATCTGCAAAACAGGGGAGAATATGCCTGTGAGACCAGGCTGTAGAGGAGTGACCCATGCAAGGTGGGACCACAGGCCTTGGCATAGAGGTACTGACGTTGTTCTTACATTATCCAAAGCAAACCCAGCTGCCGTCTGCTAGGGAGACTTTGGAGGTGACTAGCACCTGCAGGCTAGGTTTGCTTTGATGAGTTCTGTTAACAACCATCGCAAATAACACTATCACTGGGCACGGTGCCAGGTCCTTAGTCTCTTGTTCATCACGTGACTCCTGCCAAGTCACTGTTATCCTTCCCACTAACAGATGAGAAAACTGAGGCTCCGAGGTACCGTGCACCTCCCCAAAGCCAGTAAGTGTTGGGGATGAGATCACATCTGGTCTGACTCCACAGCACAGCCCAGTGTGGGGCTCTGGTCCACTCTCTTACTCATCATGAGAGAAAGGACACATCATTTAACTTCTGGGGTGTGTTTCCTCACTGGTTAGGGACCTGGTAGGAAGTGGGCAAAGGCCATACAAGGTATTTCCCAGCAAAACAAATACAATATCTTACAGAGGTACAAAAACACGTGTAATTACAGAGGCGCACTCAAAGGTGACAACATGGTTTACTCATCAGATTGGCCAAGATAAAAACCACACAGTGTGAATGAGGATGTGGGGAAATAACGATTTTCATTGGCTACCGGTAAGGGTTAGAAATTTATGTGACCTTTTGGAGGGTAATTTTTCAGTACCCACTAACATTGTAAATGTACATACTCTTGGTCCCAGAAGTTAAATCCTGGGGGAATTTATCCTAAAGGTATACAAACACATGCATGCAAAACCCTACTTACAAGGGTTGTCATGACACTGTGGTTAAAAAGAGAAATTAAAGACTGTACACAACCCAGATGTCCATTTGTGGAGGAATTGGTTAAATAAAATAACCAATTCATTTATACTATTCATGCTGTGCAGCCCCAGAAGGATGAGTCTATATATGGTGATAAGGTATCATCTGTAGGATATGGTCTTATGAACAACAAAGATGAAGTCGGATATGTGTTTCATTTGGCCAACGAAAAATTAATTGTATTACATATAATACTTCTAGAAGGAGTCTCATAAATAAATAAAGTTACTGCCCTGGAGGTGGGAAGAAAGTTATTCTTTTCTATTATGAACTCTTCACGCATTGTTTAACTTTGGTTTGTACCTTGTGCTTACCGGGCCTGTTGTGTTTGCTCACTCTTTGAAAGGTGTTTTGGTTGGGGTCTCCAAAGGGCATTTGATGGACTATATATCTGCCCCCCAAAGAGGCAAACTGACTTTACTTGCCAGCCTCTCTGTGCTAGTGAAGGGCCTCCCTCTCTCTCCCCATAGTGAATGGGCGGATGCGCTCCCACCAAACACAGAACACCTCTTACCCCTCACTGCTGTTTCCCAGAGGGCACTGCAAGTCCCCAGAAATAACTGCGCAACTCTGGGCACCCTTGGAAGGTCCAGCTGCTGGCTGTGCTGAGGCCATTTGACTCCCAAAGCCACGGATATCTGAAGGGGTTGCGCAATGGCTGTGATGGAATGTCATCTGGCACTGAACGAAACCCTCCCTGCTTTTCCCAGAGGTGGCACATTCTATATAAAGCTGCCAGACCTGGCCATCTCCTTGCTGAGCCTGACCCCTTCCCTCCAAGGGCGAGGCAGTGGATTTCTGCACAGGACTCCTCCGCAATAACTGTGGCCTCTGGGCTTATGGCAGTTGGCTGAACCCATAAGCCCAAAGGCTAGGCTAGGGGAGGCCTGGCCGGGAGGGAGCAGAGGGTCCTCTCTGTTCTAACGTCTGGTTCTGAGGGGCAGTGATGTAAACTGAGACAGGATATAGACACATCCTGCCTGAGTCAGCAGCACGAAATAGGGCCCCGTGGTTCTCCCATGGCAGAGATCCTGCCAGAAAGTAAATCCTAAGGGTAATCTGGAATGGTATGCAAGTAAGGGCTGCATCCCCATCAGTTCCGCAAGGGAAGTATTTGCAGTCATTGGTCAAGGTCTGAAACTTGAATCCTGGAGAATTGCTGTAGGGGGAGGACGGGGCAGGGAGGGGGGGCTGCGGTCGGGGGCAGGGCAAGGCTCCCTGAGCAAGCCTGTCCTCTCCAGACAGGAATGGCTGTAGGCCTGCACTTCCTCTGTCCCTGAACTGGAATAATTACAGTGCCTTGTCCCCTTAACCCTGGTCCCGACACACACACACACACACACTCACCCACTAGGGTCTGACTCACCCTCACACACACATACACACGCGTCAACACTGACTCACACAAGCTCATGGATCCACAGTATGACGTAAAACGAAAATAAGGATGCCCGACATTTCTCAAGCACTTAACATGTGTTCATCTCTGCGCGGAGCCACTGACATGCCCTTAATTCTCACGACCCGAAGAGGCACACTATCCTGTTATTCCCACTTCGCGGATGATGAAACTGTAGCTAAGAGAGGTGGGCTTGCCTCCTTGTGACAAGAGGTCCCGAGGCAGGCAGCGAGGCCCTGACTCCACAAGGAGCTCTGTGCACACCCAGATGGCGCCGAGCACCTCAGCCACCCGTACACACGTGGCCGTGTACACACAGAGGCGCCGAGCGTGCAGATACAGACCCAGCGGCGCTCACCCAGGCTCAAGTTTGCCGCCTAAGGCCACACAACCTTGTTTTTTTTTTTAAAGACGTATAAACCCATACCAGGATCATATTAATTACGTAACGTGATTACATGATAGACTCAGAATGTCTCCTCTCTGACAGTTCCATACGATCAGACCTAACCAGGGTGGGAACAGGAGGGATCATCATTCTTTTTTTTTTTTTTTTTAATAAAATTTTACTTCTTTATTGCAAAAGCCCTGTGGCGGGGGAGGCCCAGCAGTGTTTCGGAACGTCGCTTTTGAGATTCACAGAGAATCTCACGGCGATTTCCTTTCCGCAAGAAAGCATGTGCTGGTTTTAGAAAGAAAGAAAACAGCCTCTGAAGAATTGCAACCGCTCAAATGGTCACGGCGAGCGGATCCCTGCAACATGGGCGTGGGCGTGTGGCTGGTTCCCGCCCGGCCCGGGGAGAGAGTCGGGAAGTTGGCGGAGTTAACTCAGAGTTTCTGCGGACGCGCCTCCACCGTCCTGCCCGGGCAGCTCCGGCAAACAACTTGTGCTTTCTCTCTGCGCTGCTTACCGATCTGCCTCTCTCCCTTTATTCTCTTAGGGGAAAAGTTCTGGCCACACGCACATCCCCAACAGCACACAAAGAAACAGAAAGCCAGCGGATGGCCGCGGGGGCGGTGGTGGCCTCTCCAGGCCCAGGGCGCGCGGAACCCGCGCACCAGGCTCGGGGCTCCGGACCGGGACTCCGCGATGCCCGGGGCGCTGTGATGTCCGGGGCCCCGCGATGCCCGGGGACGCGGCCGGGCGGGGCCCTAGTCCCCCAGGAGGCCGGGCGCGGCCGGAACCCCGGGGCTCCTTGGCCCCCCCCTCCCCGGCTCGGCCTCCGCGGACCCGTCCCCGGGCGAGTACTCACCTTGGCGGGGCGGGGGCGGCGGTGTGACCTGGGGGCTGCTCATCGCCGACCAGTGCGGGGCGCGGCCCGGGGGACGGTGGTTGACCCTCAGCAGTCGGGAGGAAGCGGCACCTGTGTCACACTCCTCGGCGCGGCCCGAGGGGAGGGGCTCCGGCCCCGAGATAGGCAGACTTCATTTAGTTTTTTCTGCAGACTTGGCTGGTGGGGTTTCCACCCCCTTTTTTTTTTTTTTTAACACAGACTCCCGCCCACTTCTGAACTCTTCTGTGCTCCGACTTCCCTGCGCAAGAATCACATTTTTCTAACTAGTTTCTGTTTCCATCTGAAGCTACCACATACAGAGGTTGTGGTTGAGATTTACCCCACGTGTGGGCTGAAAAACTCCCAGATGTGACATAATGCCTGCCCCGCCACCATCCGGGACGGTGACCAAATACAGCCAGACCTGCGTTTCAGTCTTGGCTGGTCCTCGTGAGGCCTCTCAGATCCGCGGAGCCTTTGTGGCCTGGGAAGGGTTCCCGGCTTGCTGGCCCCTTCTGGCGCACTGTCCCAATCCATGGGCTAATGTCTGAGAAAGAGTCTTAGGAAAAAAGGACTGCTGGACAAAGGCCTGTGACTTATTTGGACCACCTTTGTTTGAGGCTTCCAGACAGTGTGGAGTTTGTGGAGAATTCACTTTATTAGGCAATTAAAAACTCGACCTGGATTTTGACACTGGTTAGTTAAAGGCAGTCTACCCATCTCAGCCAAAAAGAATGGTATGTGATATGCAGCATTAAGTTCTCCTCGCCCTGCAGAGAGAAAGGCAGGGAGCTTGAGAACATGTCAACCTTGTTTCAAATCCCAGTCCCAGGAAACACCCTGTCCTTCTCCTGTCTCATGTCTGATCTTTCCCGTGGTGCTTTTCATTGCTGTTTACCTGAGAGTCCTCATCTCTGCTGCAATCCCAGGGCACCATTCCAGCTGTCTGTACAACGTGTGTGCTGTTGGGAGTACCCTCTGGATTGAACACAACTCAAGGCTGCCCCCTGGAGGTGTGCGATGCAGGTGCTCTGCCCAGTGCCTCCCAGGCTGGACCACTCCAGGCATCTTTATTAGAGCTGCCTGTTTGACACAGTGGGAAACTGTTCCTGATTCTCTTAAGTTAGATATTGCTTATTGATCTTTAATCAGACTTCCATGCTCAACATGTCCATGTTGACGTGAACTATTCACAGAATGTCTTTGGCCAGGTGTGGAAATTTTGAGTCTCAGTTTCCTCATCTGTAAAATGGAGACAAGAACACCTACATTCCAGAATTTTAGAGAGACAATGTCTATAAAATAACAGTGGGGCAGAAAAGGCATTTAGTAGAGGCTGGCAGTGATTACTGTAACCATGTAACATTTTATTTTGTAATAGATATAGGTCCATGTTGGATAATAGTATCCGCTGTGTTCAGAGTTCATAAATAAAACAACTTCAATTATCCGAAATGCAGCTGGGGAGCTGAAAGGAAGCCAAAGACCGGCCAGGTAACTGAAGAATGAGTCTCTAGGTCATCCCACCTCACTTATGGGAGAACTTCTCAGAGGCTCACTTACAGTTAACTGGCCTTTAGACATAAGCATAAGAGGTTTGTTTAATTAATTTCTTGGGGTAGGACACATTAAAAGCACCAAAAAGTAACGAGAATTCCTTATAGACAGGAAGCCAAAAACTAAGCAACTAACTAAACGACTGAACAGCAAAGGTAGAAATCCAGACAAACTATAGAGCCCAGATACAAGAACAAAGTAGCATTTGTTATACAACTAAAAACATCTTCGCTCCATCCTTAAGTGGAGGATGTGACTTTACCGTGGGGTACCGAGGAGCTAAGGCTTTGGGACTCCATCTGGGTTTGAGTCTTTATCGCCTTCTAGCTGAGTAGCCATCAGTACTTTACTTAACTTCTCTGAGCCTCACTTTTCTCATCTATGAAACTGAAGCGATCTGCAAAGTTGTTGTGAGTGATACATTAGACAATTAATCATTCATGGGATAGTGCGATGTCTTCCTCAGCACATAGAAGTTAAAGATATCGGTCCCCACCCCCTTCACAGGAACAGTCGGTTTATGTTAAGGACCCCAGGCCATTCTGAAAAGAAGGTAAGTAGTATTTAATAGTGAGTAGTTCAGCTAGCAGGGACACACTTGGTATATTTTAGAAGATTTAACCATGGAAGTGTCTAATTTTAAAGAAATGAGGGCTATTTTAAAAACGTAAAATAATTATATGAAACATTAGATTATATGGCAAGAGTCTGACATTGAATCGCAGAAACACACTACTAGTGTGTCTTCATGTGTAGGATGTTTATTAATGGAGTAAAGAACTCAGCTACATCTTGTAACAATAAAACAGTTCTTATCTCACTTAATTCCCATAAATACCTTCAAAGAGGATATTGCCAAGAACCCATTTTTAAGGTGAGAAAACTGAGGTTGGGAGCAGTGACAAGAACTTGTCCAAGGCAGTGGAGCCAGGATTGAGACAGTATAGTACCTTGAAAAGTACAGCAGTACAGTACAACTACTGGCATCCAGGGCTGGCATCGAGTAAAAAGGCAGGAAGAGTTACTGACTGGAGGAGGGAGAGGAGGTGGGAGATGGTAGAGCTGAAGGATCCTCAGCAATAGGAGACGGAGGGCAAGCTGCCATGTCACTCACGCCTGACGTGTATGGCACAGGTTCTGGTTCCTTGCTGGATTCAATTCTATCTACCCTCTTGAAAAAATGATCCACTGATGTCTGGGTAGTAGCTCTTTTCTTCTCATCATAGATGACACGGTAGCACTGGATTGCCTTTTGAACAGCTGCTGCAAACTTCGTGTACCATTCTAGGTTCGGGTCCTGTGCCTGAAAAACTAACAGTGCCTCCTCAAGTCAAGAAAATCCCCTGCCATTTCCTGTGTCATGAATCTCTTTGATTCTTCAGTTACTTCTTCCTCTTGTCTCTCTTCATCCTTTCTCTGGGCACGTTTGCATCTTTGAAAGTTCGCAACTTGAAGGTTCCTATGTAGGGGACTTACTGTATTGCAGATACAGTAAGTATTTTTTCCCTTTGGGTCTTTTTCTGGTTCTTTCTCACTGGCACAGAAATAGTTTGACTTATCTGATTGGCAAGTTGGCAGCTTTTAAGAAAACTAGACTGCGGCTCTGTATATTTTAAGAAGAGTGGAGAGAAGAAACAGGGGTTTGATTCCATCACAAACTGTGAGGAATGTGTGTGGGGAGCGGAGTGGAGAAGGTGGGGTGCAGAGAAGCACAGAGAGACCTAGGGTGGCAAGATCTGCAGCCCCCCAGGAAACTCCCAGCAGCACACAGGTCTTTCTGAGGAGAATCCTTCAGTGAGACAGTGTGAAGGCCGAGAGGGAGGACACCTAAGGTGGGTCGCTAACACTGAGCTGCTAGCCCCCTTTGGTCTAGACTTTGCTAAAGGCTGGCTCTCAGTTTTCCAGGCAGAGAGGAGTGCGCCCCATGTTCAAAGTCGGTGAGGCTGCAAGACCCTGAGCTACAGCCCATGCCCCTAACTTACAGGGCCTCATCCAAAGGCAGATCTTTACGCATCCATAATGGCCTGTCTCTGCAAGTTTCCAAACCATACCTAGAGAAGAGGGGCAGCACAGAAACCCAGCAGGAATACCAGGTGGTCTGGGATAGATTGAAGTGACCCTACGCAAAATCTCATCCATCAGGGACACATCTAAAGGCAACCTGTCATGGGCTAGGATGGAGATGCTAGGAAGCTTCAGGCTGGGAACAAAAGCAAAAAAACAAACAAAAAAACCGACAGAAAGAAAGAGCACAGAGAAATGTGGGCGTGAGGGGCTGGCTTGAATCTTAGAAGAGTGCATGAAAAGGGCACAGCCTGGAGGTCAGCCTGGGTGATTCCCACACTGTAGGGAATGTGTGAATTTCCAGGGAAACATATCCCAGCGGGCACAGGGACAGATAGGGACAGTTTCCTGAGCACCTAGAAAGTACCAGTCCTGATGCTACGTGAGGGCCTCTCACATGTGATTATCGCTCGTGTCACAGCGTCCTTCCAGGGCAGGTGGCGCTTTGCTTTTGTTTGTTTTTCCTTTTCCATCTTCTTCATTTTACAGGAGAGGAAACCGGAGACCAGAGAGGTGAAGAAACTGTTCATGCTCACACAGCTACTCAGGGATGGCTCTGCTGTGGTGGAAGGGCTGCCAGGTCGCCCTCCTCAGCACCCCTCCTGCTCAGCCCTGTGTCCTGGTGACTCCCTGGTTTCCTGCTCAGTTTGATGGGGATCTTCGTATCGGAGGCCCCAAGACACAAGGAAAGAGGAAGAGAGTTGCTGGACAACTTTCCAGTGGGTCCCATCAGAACATAGGGAAATAGAATCTTCCAGCACTTAGTGAATTACAAACTTCCAGGGAGTCCTGTTTGGGTCACAGCCCTTTCCCTCCAGATATAAGTTGTTGGTATGAAACTGAACTAAAAAATGACTTCTCCAGTTGCTCCCAGTTGAGCTCTTGGACCCAATAAGGGAAGAGACAGCTTCCTCCTTTGACTTTTTGTTGTGGCTTTTATTGTCTTGGGCCAAGAGGAGGGAGGAATTCTGGGCATGGAGCTCTGTGACTGGGAAGAGGGAACTGGAGTGGTGACGCTACTTGGCAAACGTTTGCTGTGAGCTGTGTAGTTTACCTCATTTCATCCCCAGAGCAATCTCACGAGCAAGGAAGGACCAGGACTGGAAAGGTGGCGACATGACTTCTCATTTGTGGCTCACCACTTGCCACTTTGCTAAGTGTCTGTGCCTCCAAATTTTCTCATGTGCAAAATGGGGCTAGTGATGCTTACATCTGGTGTGCTTCTAGGGAGTTGGTGCAGGTCCCCTTTGGAAGCTCACACATTCATTAAGATAATAAAGACAGGGCTTCCCTGGTGGCGCAGTGGTTGAGAGTCCACCTGCCGATGCAGGGAACACGGGTTCGTGGCCCGTTCTGGGAAGATCCCACATGCCGCGGAGCGGCTGGGCCCGTGAACCATGGCCGCCGAGCCTGTGCATCCGGAGCCTGTGCTCCACAACGGGAGAGGCCGCAGTGGTGAGAGGCCCGCGTACCGCAAAAAAAAAAAAAAAAGATAATAAAGACAAAGGACTGTAGAAAAA